CCTGTGCCTCCTCAGAGAGTGAAAGGAAAGTATTCTTTCACAAACAACTGTTGAAGACTAGGATTAATGATTTCATCCTGCATTCCCTGACTTTTACACTGCCAGATGAGACTCTGCTGTCTCCTAGCAGCTGAAAGGGGCCTTCAGCAACAGATCTTCCATTTCATACAAATAAGAAATGGCCCAGAAATATTATTTCCAACAGAAATATTTTTAAGAGGAAAAACTTGAGTTTTTGGGAGGGAGAAACCTCTAGGTAGGGCTCTGTCTTCTTCAGTGAAGCAAAGACACTTGGTCCCCTCCAGCCCCTCCTCTGCCCACAGCCGCAGGGTGCTCCAGCAGTCAGTGCTGTCCTTCTGGGGCCCTTCTGGCATGCTGTCACATGCTCCTGGTCTCCCCAGATTCATCAGGCTTCCCTGGAAGGTGGGAATTTCTTGCCATAAAGAGAGGAAATGGATGGCGTGCAGAGACTGCTGATGAGAGCAATTAGGGTGTACACAGCAGCCTGATTAGTGTGATTTCCTCTGTGTAAAGGAAGGGCTGGGGGTGTGCAGCAAGGAGTTAGCCACCTGATGCTCATTCCCTTTTCTCTGCTAAATACCTGAAATGACTGGAACGGATGAAGCAAGATGCCACTAATTCGCTTTACACTGAGTGTTCGTTTTGGAGGGCTTTTAAAGGGGACTTAAAAAAAAAAATAGAGAGAGGAGACAGAAAGACAGTGCCAAAAAAAAAAAATAAAATCCTTAATTAAAGTGCAGGGAACTGACAGCAAAATTAGATAAACCCTACCTTGCAGCTTCTACAGGAAATTACATATCCCAGGAATCCTGATCAAGAATTCAGATCATTTAGGAAATTAAGGAGGGCTGGAGAGTTCAGCACCAGCAACTCTTAAGTTAATTTGGTCACTTCATTACAGTGCTTCTGCAGGAGATAAGGCCTATCCAAAAAACAGCCTTTGAGAAAGAGCAGATCTTTTAAGCAGGATTGGCGTCTTTTCCCCACCAGAAGCCCCTTTCAGGACGATGCTAGCCAAGTCCCTGCAAGGTGGCAAGGTGAAGACACAGTGGCCAGCACAGCGCTGGCACTTTATCTGTAGGGACAAGAGTGCTTGTAGGAACGGAAGCAATCATACACGGCCAAAAGCAGGCTCTTTTCAAGCCCATCTCCTTCTCATTCCAGAAAATCTTGAGAAGACCAGCCTTAAAGAAGGCTATGGTGCCATTATGGAGTGTCACTATACCAGATTAAAGCTGGTATGAGCATGTGAGAAAGGAACAACTCCTACACTGTAATCATGAGGTTTTCGACATTGCCAAACTGTCAGACTGATTTTGTTATTTTCCAAGTAGGGAGACCCTAGTCATGGCTTCCCTTTCTATGGGTGTAAGAGAAAAATGGTCTGGCCATGACTCTCTTGGGCTAACAACACACAGGTTGAACTTAGTTGTTTTATCTGTTTCTGCTGTTAAACTCTTCAGCTCTCTCATTCATGCTGGTGCTCCTTCTCTCCTTCTGCTCCTTAGCTCTGCAGCATCTGCAGCAGCTACTCTGGGATGCTGGGTAACTCCACTCTCAGGAGATGAGAGCTGCAGCTGGGTCCCTCTGTCGCTCTCAAGTCCCTGTAAACCTGTCACTCATCCCCACCTGTAACTGCTGGTAATTATGTGATTCACTAACAGCCTTAGGAGCAAGCACCGAGCCACTCCAGAGCACAGTACTGCAGCACCAACTAGAACACACACTGGGCACAGCTCCTGGTATTCAGCACTCCTTCCAACGCCTCAGCTCACCAGAACAAAACGACCTTTGCTACACTGCAAGATCAAGGCTGAAATTCAGGATTACCTTGCCTGATCACGGCTTGGCACAATATAAAATTTATTTGTGTGCTTGGACTGTGACAGCTCAAAGGACGGGAGTTTCAAAAAGTCTTCTTGCTTTTGAAAAAATTAACTTTCAATAACCTTAGTCTGTCTGATTTAACAGACCTGACTCACCTTCTCCATCAGCCAGACCCACAGAGATAGATGACCCTGATTAACACTGGAGAGAAATATCTCAGCTTGGGAATCCAGTTCTCATTTACAAGGAGTTTGTTCCAGTTTGAAGGCATACAGGAACCCTGAAGTTAAGTATAAACTACCGCTCTCTGGTCAGAATGCACTGGCAGTACACAACTGGAAATCAGGCTACTGTCTCCATGTCTAGTCTTCACTAGCAGCTGATGGCAGATAAATGGGATGTGTGATGGACAGTCAAACAGGAGCTGAGTTGGAGTAAAAGGCAAGGTACATATATCTGCTTGCCTGGCAAAGTACTGAATACATGAATACTGAAAGCAGATCCCATGTGGAGAAGCATACCTTTAATCACAGTTTGGCACATTTGTCTTTATGGGTCCCAACTTTAAAAGCAACCTCAGATCTGACTAAAGGAATGAGGAAAAAGAAAAGGCAATGAATCTTTGTGCAGATGGGTTGTATGAAAGCAAAACTTTTTTCAGTGTTAATGAACAGACAGCAAGACACAAGGCGAGCAAGATCATATTAGCATTTCTCATTTCTACCTCTAACCAGAGTAAAATACCTGTTCTCAAAACACTGCCAGTGGCACACTGAGAATCAGGTCATGAAGGCCTTGTGTGTTTACCAAAAACTGCTCTCATTGTTGGGAAAAAACTTAATAAAACAAAAAGACGGCTCCTTCAGAGAAGTGTAAAGAAAGGAGCAATTGGATTTGATGTCCCCAGTTTTCTCAGGCTGATCTCATAGAAGTGTGTCATTCCTCACATGCTGATGTCCGCCCCTTGATGGGTTGTATCTTCCTATCCAGACAAAACACTCAGGGCCACTCTCTGCACTCAGCAGCACTAAGGGTAAAGGGACCGAAGACAATGTTTGATCAATGCCTGTCAATGCCTGGATAGCCCAAGCAGTATTTGCACGCCTTGCTCTGTGAACTGGATGCACAGTAAATGCTGCACAGAGCTTCACAAGCCCTGGATGAAAACTCCGCTCTCCCCGGTCTTCTTTCCCCTCCAGCATTGTTCAGCTTTGCTCCAGGACTCAGCAGAGCTGCAGAGCTTCATGGAGGGGTGCAGCAGAGCTGTGAGGAGAACACAGGGAGACTGGAGAGGCAGAAAAGCCCACTTGCTTCCCCATGGGTCTGCATTACTCACCCGTGGGTGCTCTGGACCTCACTCCCACAGGGACACACTGCCACCCTGTGGAAACTGCTCTTCCTCTCCCAGGCTGGGGAAGGATGCGGGGAGATGGCTTGCAGCCTCTCCAAAGCTCATTAGCTACACTGCTAATGCAGCAGCAAGCCAAATGCACTTTGGTGCTGCGCTGAAGCAGAGCTCTGTGAATTTAATTTATTGGGACTAATGCAAAATTAATTTCTGCTAAGTCTTTGTAATTGCACATTCAGCGGCAGGGTGGCTGCTGCGGACACAGTAGATATTGAAATGCACAATTACTGCCACTCACTCCACTGATAAATTAAAAATCAAGGGTCAGTTCATCAGCCAATCTTCAGACAAGCCGAGATGAGAGACCAAGGCTGAGATTCACCTCTGTCCCCAAGACATCAACGCAGCACACAGGAAAAGGCAGAAAGCCCCAGGTAAAGTGTGACAGCAAATGACAGCAAACTTCTTCTGTCTGTCTACATCCAAAAAATCCTGAGCCCTGATCCTTGCTTTGGATAGGCTGGTGAAGAGCCAGGCAGCTTTAGCATTAGCAGGTGAGCACTAAACACCAAGGAACAGCCCCAGCTGCATAATTCTGTCAGCAGGAAAACAAACAGCAGGTGAGCACCAGTGGAAGTCTCTCATCAGTGCACTCAGAAGGTTATTTAAACTCAGTTTGGAGATCTACTTATTCAATGAGGGCTGTAATTAGCCTGCAAATTAATCTCAACACATCCCTCTATGGCAAACTGAGAAATGAGATTCCTTGGGGGAAAAATGAATTTAAGTGTTGCTGCTGACAGATGAATATTCCGTATCAAGACCTAAAAATTAAAGATGTTAAATCTAAAATAAAGGGGTGTTGAGTTTATATTCCTCACTACTTAGTAAGATCTCAGGCAGGAGGGCTCAACAAAAAGCTCCCTGAAGAGGCCAGAGAAACTGAAGAAATTACCAGTACTAGCAAACGAAGTCTGCCACTTGCAACCATGCAGGTACATCTGTATTTCACAATGGGCCTGACACAAACCCACAGAAGAGATAGCAGCTCTTTTGATTTATTTCAGTAGGCTTTGGGTCAGCTCTCAGATGCAGAGGCCTCTTATTTTTATTTCCATCACAAAAAAATAAAATTAAAAACTCCACACACTGCACACCTGCCTTCATTCAAAGAGACTGCTGTTTCATGCCAGCAATCAGACAAAAAAGAAGTGAAACATTCTCATTATTACTGACAATGAAACAAGATTTGTCCCGCTCAGCCTTCTTGCCTGTTCTTCAGATTTAACTCCTGGCACAAACTTAATGAACAAAACCCGAAGCAAAGCAGCCTGTGCCAGACAGCACATTATAATCTGAAATTACATCTCCAGTTCTAATGTGAAAACCCCAAAGCACCTTTGATGAAAAAACGCACATGCCCTCGAGACACAGAGAGATCGAGATTAGTTCTGATGTATTCAAGGTCAGAACCAACTGGCTGCTTCCGTCCAGTGCAATCAGGAGACAGCGCTCTGGGTTGGCGTGGGCACAGCAGTTTACAGGGCACACGGCTCTGGAGCCAGCCCTGCTGGAGTTCAGTCTCGCCTCCCTGTGCTGCAGAGAATCTTGATCACTATCAAGAGAAGGCAAGGGGGAAAACAACACAACAAACACTGTATGTATTATGTATGTTCCGGGAGGAGAAATGTGCCCATCGCCGGTCACGTCTGGCAATTCAGGTTCAGGAAATGCAAGACCGGTGTTGGGTTTTGAAGCTTCCCTCAGTAAAAACGAGACCCACGTTCTGGGGTTAATTCCTTACCTTCAACAGCCCCTTCGGGAAGTCTTTGCCGTCGTTCATCCCCTGAAGGTTAGCAACGAACTCCTGGCAGGTCATCTTCTTCCCAATGTTCTGGAAGGGATGTCAGAGAAACACAGCATCATATTCCCGCTGCTTTCCGAAACGACACGAGCGAGCAACATCAGATTAAATGCATCTCCCTCGCTCTCATTTAAGCCCAAGGCAGGCAGCTGTAAGAAAGCATTCACGAGATTGCTCAGAGACAAGCATCCTTGTATGCATGTAGCTAGAAAAGGGAAGGTGCTTCTGCACCGAAGGGCCCACACATTCATCCAAAAAGAAAAACAACTTAACACTGGGGGTAATGAAGAGGGCAATGATGAAGCTCTCTAGTATCTCCATGGTGCCTTACATCCACATGTCTCAAAAGGCTCTACCAGCCTCTGATGGAAAAGCTCTACTTGAATCTGCTGTGGGGCACAATGAAACAGCTGACTGAGGCCCTTTCCAGACCCTTCTCTTACAATTTCCAATGCTCCCTTCAAGTAGCAACTGCCCTGAGTTGCAGTACGATGCCCAGAAGCGGCCATTAGCTACTCTGATTAACAGGCTGAGGCTGCCTTGACATTTCCATAAGATTGTTCTTATTTCTTTCTTCTCTGTTCTCTCTTCTCTTATTCTCAGACTGAAAGTCGTCCAACTGAGCCACAAACGGCAAAGGAACAGCTATGTTCATGTAGGATCCAAACTGTTCCACACAGAGGCTTGAGGCTGCCCTGACTGCTCCTGAATCCCAGTCTCCCATCACCCCTCAGAGAAAGCATCTGTACTCAGTCCCCCAGGTGCTAGAAGTCCCCTGCTTAGCATGTGGGGATCCTTGTGAGTGGGCAGCAATGACAACACTGCACTGATAAAAAAGAAAACCAAAGAGATCTGAGGAAAGAAAAGCAGCCTGAGGTGAGCTGTGAAACATGGTAAAAGGCAGAGGATAAACAGGGCTCTGTGATGATCGTGGTATCTCTGGGGATGGCACTCTGCCAGTCAAGAGGAGGTGGTGAAGATGACTTCTCCATGGTCTAAGGGTATGCTTTATCTGCAGAAATACAGTGGAAGAGCTTTGTGCAAAGATGGTGTCTTGGGCTAGAACCAAGAGCCCAAATCAGTGCACAGGTGAAGCCCAAAGGAAAGCACCAGTTGGTAAAACAGGTCATTTAATGCTACAGTTACATGACAGCTTGGACTGCACATCCTCTACTTCCCTTTCATAATGTCTGATTAGGGAGAGATGGAAAACCACCAAACCTTGACCATCGGCCTCACCTACCCAGAAAAGAAAACCCCACAGCTTGTGGCCAGCACAGACCCGCAGGAAGAAGGCAAGAAATAACACCGGAACAACGCATGGCTTCCCACAACAAGAAGGTTCCTGACAACCCAGTCTGGCTGTAACTCTGGCTCTCTGGTTGCTAAGCTTGCAGAACACAGCTCACAGCTGCAGCCTTTAGGTGCAGGCTGGGGCTGGTCTAATAGACTTGCAAACGCTTTCCCTTCTCCCTGAGACTTCAGCCTGCTTCTGTTTCTTTCCTCCATGCAGTAGTTTGCAGCTTCCCCACAGTGAACAGCAGATTCAACAGATTCCCAACAGATGTGCCTGGTGGTTTAGAGATACCTTAAGAGTCTGGGTGATGACCTCCGTGCAGAGGAGCAAGCATGCACCTCCAAGACACAGCTAGCCAAAATTAGTTAGTTACTAAGAGAATTAAATGTGACAAGACAGGGAAAATAGAGGGATAAGTAAGAGTTTGTCTACAGGAGTTAAAGGAAGTGTGAACTGAAGGCAGAGCAGCTGCACCACAGCCCCACAAGCAGTTGAGCTTATTGTGAAATAACTCTGCACTTATGATCAGTAAGTCAGTAACAAATGGAGCTCAGTGTAGACAAGCCCCGGTGACTCATTTGCTTCCTGCTCCAGCAGAATCCTGGTAAGGATGGGGCAGACCATTACCTTTGTTAGGAAACAGGCAATTAGGCATATCTGCAAGGGCTGCATTCCAAGTCAAAAATGCCAAACTTACCACCTATGTGGAAAAATGCAAAGCAGCAAGAGGAAGATCAAAATTACAGGAAATCAGAGGGAACATGACGACACACACATGACACAACACAACAGGAGTCTGGCAAATACTACAGCTGCATATATGTAAAAACACACTGTCAACTGCCAGTGGGGTAAACCTCCAAAGTGACATACTGCAACAACCAGTCATCCAGGCTTCAGCTGCAAATCAGCAGCAGAAATGATGGGTCACAGCTGGATTATTTATTTATTTACTCCAGTACCTAATGAAGACAGTAGAGCCCACTAAAGAATGGCAGGGAGCAATGGGAATTGTTGCCAGGCTGATGAAATGACCATTTTTTCTCCCTCCCTGGACTGTGAGGCCAGCGAGGCCGGAGAGCAAGAACCCCAGGGTGTTCATTGCTCTGGGGAGCAGGATATCTGTGCATGACATCTCAGCTGTGCTCAAGAGAAGCTGTGTGTGCTAAGAGTCAAACTGGGACATGCTCCTGTACCTCTGCTCACTCTCACATGATGCGCTCCTCAGCTGGGGAAGGCGAAGCCTTCAGAGAAAAAATTCTTCACAATTCCCTTCTCCCTTCTGCTTCTACAACTTTCAGACAAAGGCAGGTGGGCCTCAAAACTCCTTGTGAAGAATACTCAAGCCTTGGTTTCATCATCTGCACCCATCACAGAGCTGCACCCACGGGGGCTGAGCAGCCCTTGGTGACAGACCCAGGTTGCCTCCAACTCCTGCTGCCCAACCCACCATCCTTGCTGTCTAAGTTTCCAATTGACATCCTCCTGGAAGAGCTCTTGGAAGTGCAGCAAAGGGTCTCAGCCACAGAGAAGCCCCAGAGCCAGCTGGCTGAAGACATTGATCCCCCATGCTATTACGCCACGATCCCTGTGTTCTCCCCTCTCCATCCTAACTCCAGGGTAGAGAAAGCCTCCCATCAGCATGGGAATACCATGCATAGCAAGCATATTGCACCATGGGTGCTGAAATGCTCATCCTAGGGCTGCTGGCACCCTGCACCAGTGTGACTAAGAGGACTCAAACCAGAGTATTGCTTCCCCCCCAAGGCAGGCAGCGGGGAGAAGTGTGCAGTGGGGGGAACAGAGGGCTCCCACTCAGCATGCCCAGGTCCACCCCCCACTCTCTTGGCTCTGTGCACACTGACCATTAGTCTGGCTGTGCAAAAACTCTAGTTTCACCAGATCTGCCCCCTGCAACTGTCTGCCTGCAAACATCACCTTCCCTCTGTGACATTCCTAAAACTTCTGCACCGCCCCCCTCTTTCTTCTGCCTTCCCACGTGTCTTTACACGCAGTAAAGGGGAAGTCAATCCCATCCACAGCTTCCTGGTCAGGGCCAGCTGCTGTAACTACAGAAGGATGGTAAGCACACCAGAAAGACAGGGGCCTGAGCACTCAGAGTATTCTCACACATTATGGCAAAGCAAGGCACAGTGCCAGCTCACACGTGACTGGTAAGGCATGACGGAAAGGCCTGCCCAGGACAACAGCCTGGGAGTGCAGACTTCTCACTGTTTGGTGTCTGCAGGGGCTTTAGGAGCAGGCCAGCAGAGTATTGATAGGAGCAGTCTACACAAAGCTGTGCATACTCACGTGGCCATGCAGGTCTGTGTTCAGCAGCATCATGGCACAGGTGAGACAGTGAACTCCATCTGCAGAAAGAGACAAAACAAGAGTCACGTGCAGACCCCAAAGTGGACCTTTAAGAAGAGCTGAAAATGAGCCTCATAGCCTAACTGCGTCTGTTCCCTCTACAAGAATCTGTTTTATCAAGAAATACACATAATTAAATAAATGAACAATGAGGTCATCACACAGCTGCCAAACTAGAACAGTCTTTCTTTCATCTTTTAGTAACTGTCAGAACTATCTTGCAGCACCCATGGATGAGGCAAACCAGACAGGAAACTAGACAGGTGACCACGCTGTCACCCTTTGCTTACTAATACCAACACCACAGCCTGAATTAACACCTTCCTCTTCATTTAATTCAGAGCAGAAAGGAAAGAGTAAAACACATCCATTCTTGTGTGCAGAGTGGATGTAGCACAGTATGATGTTTTCCTCCTTTTCTGGCTCCCTCCTCACATTCAGGGCTCAGTTAGAATGGATTTTGGAGAACTTCTGTCACCTATTTACGGTGCCTTGGCTCTATCTTGGGTAGAGAGCACTCCAGGGGTCTCTAAGGTGGTGCAGTGCCCAAGCAATGAACTAGAAGAGACAGATTCATAGAACCATAGCATATATTTGGAAGAGACCCACAAGGACCATCAAGTCCAACTCCTGGCCCTTCACAGGACCGTTCCCAAGAGTCACAGCACGTGAGAGCATTATCCAAACACTTCTTGAACTCAGATAAACTTGGTGATGTGACCACTTCCCTGGGGAGCCTGTTCGAGAGCCCAACCACGCTCTGGATGAAAAGCTTTTTCCTGATATCTAACCTAAACCTCCCCTGGCACAGCTTCATACCATTCCCTCAGGTTCTGTCACTGGTGACCAGAGAGATCTGTGCCTGACCCTATTCTTCCCCTCGTGAGGAAGTTGAAGACTGAGATGAGGTCTCTCCTATGCCTCCTTTCTCCAGGTTGAGTAAACTAAGTGACCCCACTACTTCTCCTATGGTTTTCCCTCTAGACCCTTCACTACCTTCGTATCCCTTTTCCAAACACTTTCTGATGGCTTTATATCTTCCTTATATTGTGGTGCCCAAAACTGCACAGAGTGCTAAGATCACGGGCAAAGTGTGCAGGACTCCCTTTGATCTAAATGCTTACTCAGGCTCAGAAGTGACAATTTCCCTCTCGCACCCCGGACTGGAGTGAGGACGCCTCATCAACAGGCAAGTCATTATTTCAGTCTGGCCATGATGCACCCATTCCACCTGACTGCCTACAGCGTCTTGGAACTAAAAAGGCAATAGGCAGAGGGCACAGATACCATAGGAGCAGATCCTGTCTTACTGCTAACTCTTCCCCTCCCCAGCACATCAGCCAGTAAAGCTGAACAGGAGCAAAGTGGACAAACATCACCCCACTGCAACAGGGGCAGGTCACAAAGCAAGGGGTAAGGAAGCACTGCAGTACTTCCAAGAGTGGCAGTTCTTTCTCACTCACACTTGAGACTAAAGGTACAGCTTAACCCCAATGGCTGCTTTCCTTTTTGTCCTCCTCCCTCAGTGTGTGACCAGCTCATGCTGCAATCGCAGGGCCATGTGGCTCTGCCAGGGCGGCTGGCTGAACACAGCAGCTGCGCCAATGGACAGTTTGTCCTCTTCTCCAATGCCAGTTTTTTCAGGTTTGATCTGTGTGCTTGTTTGTTTTCCTCATCCATTTCAAAAATGACTGAAAACATTGGCAAGGAGGAGGCACTCTGACTGATGTTAGCTAGTCAAGATAAAACCATGCCAGAGTCTGGATACGGCACCCAAAATTCACCCCCACAACTGGCAAGAACTGGCATGCCTGCTGCCAGTGCATGCAGACACACAAGCAGTGAGTGGAGTACGGAAAGAAAACAATTTCTCTTCCACCTGAGGTGGGACCTATTCTTGTCCATGTGTGTAAGAGTACAAGTGCCTCCACACACTGAAGTCAGTGAGAGCGGGAACTACAGTGGAGGACATTCAAATACGGGAAGCTGCAACTGAGGATTTATACTGAGGAGGCCTAAACACCTCTCCTGCTGGGGATAAATATAGATTTTCCACAACTATGTGTGGAGAATGTGGAGGGTTTCAGTGCTGACCACAGGGAGTCTCTAAAGTGTGGTGTGGCAACTTCCCAGCCTCAGTTGCCAGGCATACACCCCACATGCTGTTGAAGGTGAGAATGACAGGAGAAAACCAAATACCGCAGTATCAGAAACAAAGTTACCTTGAGAAGAAATCGTGTTTGGGTTGCACTGGTAGTATCGGCTGGAGAAGTGGATTAAAACTCTCTCTCGTTCCTGAGTTTCTCCCATAAGCGAAAAGGCTTTAAAGAAACTCCTAAAAAAGAGCAGGGGGAAAAAAAAGTGAAATTAAAGTAATAAATCTCTTTTTTGCTTCACACAGTGCACAGAGCAAAGTACACTTCACAGAAAGAAATAAGTAAGCACACACCAGACATTAAGTTCCAAAGAGGCTTTCTAGGAAAATGGGCTATCATTCTGTGTGCAGTTAATTCCAGCATTATAGTAAATGAAATGAAAGTTAAATTACCACTGGTCTCAGACACAGAACATACAAAATAATACTTAATTCCATCATTTGAAAGAGCTCTTCTTATTTTTAATATTTTTCTTTTATTTGGGGAAGGAACTGGAGCGGGTGTTGTTTATGCAAGACAAGCATCCAGGATGTTCTCTGTCCTCTTCTAATTCCCTGTCACCCCTGCATCTTTTAACTTGACACTCATTAGTACTCCCCTCTAAATCAGAGGAGCTACTCCAGGTGGTGAAGTCAAGCAGGCACAGAGCAGACTCAGAGCTCACTCCAAATGTGTGCTCCTCCTTCCAGAGGGTATCCTATCAGATTGGCCAGGACCACACCAGCCACCTTGCAGGGGGCAGTGTGACTACCTGACCTGCAGAAATTATCTGGGCAAGAGTTGCAGGGGGCAGAAGAGCTGCAACATCTCCCACTGAGCTTCAACAGCAGGAGGAGTAACCCGGCCCTCCTGTGTTCTTGCTCACGGCGGTCAAGGGTACAGGGCTGGTGCACCCACGGGGCTCGCTCATTACAGCCAGTCAGCCTGGGCAGAGAGGTGGGGGACACACACACATTGCACTTTTACTGCGACACTTGAACACCCCTCCTCTTAACCACACTGCCGTCCCTCCTCCTGGAGAAACGTGCCTCACAGCCAAAGGCGACCTTCTGCGTTCGTTTCTCAGGACGCTTCTGGGAAAAGCCTGAGAACACAAACCTTCTGGGTCCGAAGTAAGACAGCATGCAGAATGAGTGTCTAATAGACAATTCTTAAATATCCCATAGGACTGAAACTAAGACCAAATCTGAGAGGCACCTTGCTGGAACAAACACGTCTATCCAGTCTCGATGCACAGACTTTAATTTTTTCTCTTTGATGTTAAGGGCAGAGACGGGTCGTACTTGCAACAATCTCACATCCATAAAGAGTGTGATCTGCCTGGCAATAACTTAATTTCTCACATGTAATGTACTGCAAATAACACAATTCACAGGCAGATACAAGTGAGTCTTCACAGGGTTTCTCTGTCCTTCCTACCCTGTGCTCCTGTCCTGGTTCCAGCCAGGACAGGATCGATTTTTAATTGAAGGGCTTCCAATCCTCTTGAAGGGATATCCAGTTCATATTTACAAGTGAGAAACGACCAGAAGTAGAGGAGTCCTGCCTCCAGCCAGGTGGAGGAAAGGGACAGTCGGATCTATTGGACCATGTGGATCTGATGGCCTGGCACATCAGACCCAGAAGGATATAAGGTTTTAGTTGACACCAGCACACACTGTACCCTGATGCCATTGAGATATGCAGGGCAGAATTTCTCTCTACTTCTGTGGTGGCAGTGTGATCCCAACAGCCGACTGTACTGGAAGCTGAAGTGAGCCTGACTGGGAACAAATGGCAAAAACACCCCCTTGTGACTGGCCCAGATGCCCTGTGCCTCCTTGGCACAGATTACTTCAGGAGAGGGTATTTCAGGGACCCAGAAGGGTATGGCTGGACTTTTGGGTGAGGTGATGTAGAGAGAGAGGAAATGAGACAGGTGAATACCCTGCTTGATCCCTCAGAGAACTTCTCTGCTGTGGGACTGCTGAGGGTTGAAGAATAACAGGTACTCGTGGCTACCACAAGAGTGCACTGTCAACAGCACCGCACCAACCAGGACTCTGTGACCCCCATCCGTGAGACAACTCCTGAACTGGACAGCCAGGGACTGGTCAGCAGGCTCACTCACCCTTTAATAGTCCTATACAGCCAGTGTATAAACCCAGTGGAGTGTGGAGACAGCAGATTATTGTGGCCTGAACAAAGTCACACCACCACTCAGTGATGCTGTGCCAGGCACGCTGGAACTTCAGTACAAACCGGAGTCCAAGGCAGCAGAGTGGTATGTCACCACTGACACTGTTAATGCATTCTTCTCCACTGCTTTGGCAGCAGAATGCAGGCCACAGTTTGGTTTCACCTGGAGGGACATCCAGTACACCTGGAATTGACTGTCCCAGGGGTGGAAACACAGACCCACCATTTGCCATTTACTGATCCAGACTGCACTGGGAAAGGGTGGGGCTCCAGAACACTTGCAATACATTGCTGACATCACCATGTGGGGCAACACAGCAGGGGACGTTCTGGGGAAAAGGCAAGATAATCCAAATCCTCCTCAGCCCAGTCTTGCCATAAAGCAAAGTAAGGTCAAGAGACCTGCCTAGAAAATTCAGTTTTTAGGAGCAGAATGGCAAGATGGACATTGTGAGATTCCAGTGGACACGGTCAACCAAACAGCAGCTGTGTCCCTATCAACCAGCAAAAAGGAAACACAAGCTTTCCTAGGCACTGTGGGATTTTGAGAATGCATATTTCAGATTACAGTCAAATTGTAAACCCTCTCTATCAAGAGGCCTGGTAGAAGAATGATTTTAAGTGGGGTCCTGAACAACACCACACTTTTGAACAAATTAAACAGGAGACTGTTCATGCAGTAGCCCTTGGGCCAACAGGACAGGGTAAGATGTGAAAAATGGGCTCTACACTGCAGAATGGTTTTTCCTGGAGTCTCTGGCAAAAAGCACCTAGGGAGAATTGAGGATGACCCCTGCGGATCTGGAGTTGGGGATACAAAGGATCCGATGCCTACTACACCCCACCTGAAAAAGAAATTCTGGCAGCTTATGAAGGGGTTCAAGCTGCTTCAGAAGGGATTGGTACCGAAGCACAGCTCCTCCTGGCACCCCAAATTCCCATGCTGGGCTGGATGTTCAAAGGGAAAGTCCCTTCCACACATCATTTCAGCCTCACAGACACCTGAGACAGAGAGCACAATATTGAGTAGGTGTATGATATTCCCTATCATGCCCCAGCCTCTGGGAAAATTGAACAGTACAACGGACTGTTAAAAACCACATTTAAAACAATGGGTGGTGGGACTTTCAGACACTGGGATCTACATTTAGCAGAGGCCAGCTGGTTAGTTAATAATAGAGGCCCTACCAATTAAGCTGGTCCTGCCCCATCAAAACCTCCATGCAGCGTAAAAGGGGATAAAGGCCCTGTGGTGCATATGAGAACTACGTTAGGGAAGACAGTTTGGATTAGTTCTGCCTCGAGCAAAGGCAAACCTGTGGGGTGGCTTCTGCTCAAGGACTCCAGTGTACTTGTTGGGTGAGGCAGAGGGAAGGGGAAACACAATGTGTACCTAAAGGGGATTTGACTTTTGGGTGAGAACAGTCTGTAATGTTGAATTGCGTGGTATTGGTTGCTGAATGACACTGCCACTGTGTGCCATAACCACCACGGATAATGAGTATGGACTCCTCCAGATACAGCAGTCACGAGCCTCCTGACGCAGCTTGCAACCAGCCAACAGCACACCAGCCCTCCTGCCCTGGAAGGTATTTAGGATGGACAGAATCCACAGTCGTGGACTAAATGAACTCAACAGACATTCTGGAACAACAGCCACTGACTGTGGTAATGATACCTGTGCTCATGTTTATATACATATTTGGAAGGTGTAGGATCTGGGGATGACATAGTATATAGAATAAGGAGTGGATAATGTCCTGGTTCCATCCAGGACAGGCTTAATTTCTGCAGTATTTGGGATGGGTTTACCAGTCACTGAAGTGACACTGACAGGCCTGTGGTTTCCGGGGTCATCCTCCTTGCCATTCTTGAACACTGTCCAGCTTACAGTCAACTGGGACCTCCCCAGATTCCCAAATCATTGAGAGAGGCCTCATGATGACATCAGCTAGCTCTTCGAGTATTTTTGGATGAATTCCACCAGGCACCATAGACTTGCAGGGATCCAGCTGGAGCAGCAGATCCCACATAACTTCAGGGTCGACTGGGAATTTAGCATTCTCACAGCCATGGTTGTCCAGCTGAGGGCACTGGGACCCACTTAGCCTATAACTGGTGTTGAAGACAGAGGCAAAGAAAGCATTAAACATCTCTGCCTTGTCTATGTCCCTCTTTCTGAAATTACCATCTTCATCCTGTAACAGGCCAAAGAGATTTCTGCACTGTTTTTTTCTACTGATTCACTTAAAAAACCTCTTTTTATTGTCCTCCACAGTACTGGCCACCTTCAAGTCCAACTGAGCTTTGTCCGCACGAATTTTCACCCTATAGTGGTGAGCAGCATCTCAGTACTCCTCCCACATCACCTGACCTTGCTTTCACTGGGCATACACCTTCTTTTTTTGCCTTAGATCCAGAAGAAGATCCATGGTCACCCAAGCCAATCTGCTTCATCTGCTTGACTGCAGACATTTTGGAATTGCCTGCTCCTGTGCCCACAGGAGGTGGTGCTTAAAAAGTGACCATCACTGATGGACCCCAGCACCTTCAAAAGCATTTTTCCAGGGGACCTGACTAACTACTAACCTGAGTAGCCTGAAGTCTGCTCTCCCCATGTCCAGGGTTGGACTCCAGAATGGACTCTGAGAGGGGCTGGAGTAGCCACTCCACCTCCTCCCCTCCTGCAGAGGATGCGAGCAATGCACGCTGGAGATGCCTGGGCAACGTGGGTCCAGTGTGGAAGCAGAGCAAGACAATGAAGAAACAACCCTTCCCAAGTCTCAGACTTGTCACTGAGGCTGCACAACAGCCTCCCACAGCCTGGGGGTAGCATGGTCTGGGCGGCTGCCATGGGCTCCAAAATGCTCGGCAAACCACAGCTTGTCCGCGAGCCAGCAGCAACAGGGCTGTTACCTTTCACTCTCTGCAAAGTGCAAGGCAGTATGCCTCTGTTTCCCCAGGCTTCAGGAGGATGCCCTGTCCCTGGCTGCTGCTGCACGCCCAGGGCACGTAGCCTACAACCGCTGCACCTACTCCTGAACCTCAGCAAAACCCTGCCTTGTTTAAGTCCCACACGAGCCTGGGCATATTTTAGAGAAGGTCATGACTATTAATATTAACAGGAGATCTACTGGGAGCAGAAACCTCCCTAAATATGGGCCACAAAGCAATTAGGTGTTGGGTTTCACAATTTAAAAGAAGGCTATATTTAGCATTATGCTTCAGGGCTGTTAGAACCTGGAAGGAGCAGCAGACCTCCCACTGCTGCAGCAGCTCGCACCCTGAGCGGGTGCTCCAGCTTGGCTCCGCTCTGCCTGCCTCAGGAGCAGGCAGTTCATGCTAATGCAGGCATGTTTCATTTCCACCACCTTCAGCAGGCAGGACTCTGGGGTTTCCTTGCTCACGGGCTCTGCCATGCTCTGATGGCACCAGTAACTCCTGGAAACGCACTTGCAAAGGGACTGAGAAGTGCATGCACAGCTCCTAGCTTAAAATCATTAGAAAAAAAACAATATCCCACTTAGGTAACCTCAGCCAGACAATTTAAACCCATTTTAAATCCCTTTAAACACCAGAACACAGCAACTGTGCTAACAGGCCACTGCTACACAGACTTGGTGTTCTGCCTTCTGAGAAAAAAAAGGACTGAAAATAAACACTGTTGAGGCTTGATTCCAGCATAAAAAGGAAGGAAAATTGAAGGGCTGGGTTTTCAAACACCCATGCTGGCAGCTACAGAACTCTCAACAGCATTTTCCACGTGGAAGCTTTTGCTGCTCTGCCTCAGGGAGACAGAGAGAGGGGGGCTGCCGAGCCACATCAAACCCTGCCTAAATTTAGTACACTGAAGCCAGGCAGAGCAAGCTCCACAATGTATCAGCCAGAAAGCCTGTGCAGATCAGTTGTGAGCAACACCCTAATTCTCCAGCAGTACGTGGCAGACTAGTGTGCTTACTGTACGAATGGTCACTTTTCTCCATCTCCTCGGATCAAGGACCATCTCTCAGCAGGTCCACCCAAAGATTTCCTGGAGTAGCACCCAAGTATGGCAGCACACCGAGACAAACTGAAGAGGAAAGCTCTGCCCCAAAAATGCATCACATCCCTCTCAGCACTCTCTCAAGTCCCCACAGGACTGTTGCTAAAACAAGAACATAAAGTCTGCAAACGGGCTTGTACCTGAGCGAGCAGTCCAGCGTCATGCCTGTGAAGTCGAAGAACTTAAGGTACTCCTCGGCCACAAGCTTGCTGAATTCATTGCTACAGAAAAGCAAACAAATAAATAGAGGTTATCATTCGAGAGTGAACCCCTTCTAGAACCAGCAAAGAGAACAACGTGGCTGAAAGCCTCGTATCAGCACATACTTTTTGCCCAAGTGCTTTGCCACATCAGAGCGTTTGAATCTGTCCAGATGGTAGAGGCGCTTAGCCAGGCGCCTGGCTGCTTCCAAATTGCTGCTGCTGCCATTGCTGAGATCGTGGCCAAGGGCTCCAGTGGCATCTTTCTCCTGAAGTTCATTGCTCCCCATGGCAGCACTGGAGTCTAACACCACATTCTGCAGATCAACATCGCTATGAGATGAAAAGAATACAGAAAAACAGAAAAAATAAGGTAAGATAACATTCCAGATTCCTCTTAGGATAGCAGGCAATTAACAGTACAGAGGCAAGATCACACAATGTAGCAAATCCACTTAATTGAAGGAGCAGTGTAGAACAGGGATATTTATTTAGCAGCCACCAGGAGTTAAGAGTGCTAAACGCAGAGAGACAAGTAAGGGCTTTCTGACTCTGGTAAGTGTCTACCACTTGTGCTCACTTCAGAGAGAGCTGTTTGGTATTATCAGTCTACAACTGCACCCGAGAACACTGGCTCTTCGTTTGCTTCTTGCACTAGTATTTTTTAACCCAGCTGCCTCTTTGGTTTGAAGAGGCCCCTGTAAAAATAGGCCATAAGCCATTTTTCAGGAGAAATGCAGTAATTAAGCCAGGGTGTTCAGCTACTCCAAGCTGACTCAGCACAAGTCCCTTCCTCATTCTTCCCCAGTTGTCCTGAAAACAATACAATCCCCCAAATCTAAAATGACATCACCAGAATTCTCAGTGGCTTCTGTGCTGCCCATGAGCAGCGGACATCCCTTGGGGAGGCACTGCTAGAAAAAGCAGGACTCAGAGGAAGGAACCCAGTTTGGAAAATGAGGAGACACAAGCCATCCACGCCAGCGCCTGGAGAACTCCTTGCTTTCCTCCTGCTCCCTCGTGGTGGCAATTATTTCCCTCATCAGCTGCTCAAAGTCAGGATGTTCAGCATGGTATTCCCAGGGCACTTTAGATAAATCATGCATTTATAGATTCCTCCCACCACTACTACAGTAGGAAAGCTCTGGTGAGCTTTCCTTCTCCCATCAAAGAGGCAAGAGCCCTCCACACCAAAAAGCACACCCCCACATACACATCCCTGCACATAAGCCAGGCTTTTAACTTTAGAAAAACTTTTCTCTGATACTGGCATGAAAATTCTTGCAAAATCTCAGCACTGTGTGCGTGTGTGCTTGACAGCATTTCTATTTTTTTAAAAATACTACACAGAAATTCTTTCTACTAAAACCCCATTTACACAGGGCTCATGAATGATCAGCAGGGGTCATGCATAGGGCAGATATGAGTGGAATGAGTTAAAGATGACTTCAAATACATAGCACTTTAAACAACATACCACAGCTTCATACACCACTGTAATCTTCAGAGTTAACAGGCCATGGTTAAAACAACTATCGCTGTGCTCAAGTAACGATTATCTACCCATTTACTCAGGTATCTGCTAGCCACTTATTAACCCTTTAAAGATGAGATTTTCATATTAAGCGAACTTAAAATGAAAATATTTGGCATTCCGCATGCCTCTTTCCACACAAATCATCAACCTGTGTCCTACCTTTCTTTCCATCCATGGTTTAAGAGAAGGAGGTATGCAGTGCTCCTACAGAAAGGAGTATTTTATGTGTTTCCATATTTCCAGTGCTGCTAGAACATTACAAATATCACACATCCACACTGTGGCTAAAACTTTTTTTATCAAATATCAGGGGAACACAGAAATCTAGCCTGTTCTGCATGTACTGGGGACTTAATTTTTCATTTGCTTTAGTGTAAATAAAAAGATGCTGTAACAAAAGGGAGACAGTCTCAGTGCTCTAGTAGGGAATTAATACTGTAAATACAACTTCAACAGCATTAACATCATTACCATCACCTATCCCAGAAAGAAAAAAACTAAAGAAAGAAAAAACTGACACTGTGGTTGTGGAAAATGCCTCCTCAGCCCTTTCCAAAATCACTAGCCAATATGTGAAATTATTTGGTCTACGCCAAACCTGTGAAGAAAGCAAATTCCAGAGTCCTCTGACACATGCCCCAGTCAAGGCCTTGTCCATTCAAATCAGGCACGACTGATTCCAAATTCCCAGCTCTAACAATTGACAAGAGCAAGGGATAACCAGGTGAGCTAACACATCTACAGAGCCTTTCACGTACAACTGCCGCTTCAAAAGCCGTGCCAGCTCACAGAGCCTCACTCATAAATCACAGTCCTCTTTCACCACTGCTCTTTATTAAAGGCAGTATTTATAGCCCTGAAAGATGGCCAAAGCTGACAAGAAACATCTGCACCCTGCTAGGAACCACGGCACTACGAGAGTCAACGTTACCACAAACCACCACGAGTTTAGAAAGAACGGAAGTGCCAGCATCTGGCACTTAGTGAAATAAACAGGACGGCAGCTCCCAGCTTCTGTTCTGCCTCTCACAGCAGTGGCTGGGAGAGAGGGAGCAACACCCACCAAGGAGGAGAGTGTGCTTTTTTATACCCTGCTCACCAAAACTAGCCAACGGGGCTTCACAAGAAACCTTATCTTCCAACCTCCTGCATTTAAAACTTCATCCTGACTGGGGGTCCCCACACACGTATCAAAGAATAAGGGATGTGTCCTTCAGTTATTCCAGCAGTTAATTCCGACAGTTGATTAGCTTATTACTTTGTATGTACAAAAACTCTGTCAAATCAACAATATACGTTGCCTGTAGCATAAGCCTCTTGTTCAGGGGAAACGAAAGATTCTTAAAGTGAGAGTTCAGCGCTCAAGTGTTTTAGGTGGTGAGAAGCCTCAGTGCTTACATCACTGAGGAATCAGGAAATGCAGATGCCCTGTGCGTGACTACTGCAGGCTGTCTTCAGGATGGGACATTTTAGCAGGGTCCAGGAGGTGTTGCTCAGGGGAAAGGCTGACATCTCTTCTTATTTTCAGGACTCTGGGGGTGCACCATTTTCCACCTGTGCCTCACTTTACCCAGCTGCTGAACTCAGCAATACTTCCCTCCCCCTGTAGGATGCTTATAAAGGACTCTAATCAAGAGCTAGGAGCAACCAAGGCTGCATACAGATCTCTCTTCTGCAAGTCTACAGTTTCTACACATAAAGAATCCACAGCAGCATTACCATCAAAACAGAGCCAAGAAAGGGCTTTGTGATTTAGAGCAAGACTGGACATGGATTTTTCATGCAGCTTTACTCTTTATCACATAATAATGAGAAAACTCCAATAAAAGCAGCCTGAAAAATGTAACAGATGACATTCCACCTAATCCTAGACTCAGGGCCAAATGCGACTGTAGTGATATTACTCGTAATTGCCTGTACAGCAATGGCTCCTGATTTTTATCCAGAGATACTTACATTAATCTCTTCTATCAGAAAACAGAAAACAAGCTACAAAAATCCCCACACCTCCCCGGACTCATAGCACACGAGCTGTGGTCAGAAACCAGGTCCTTAGACCTTCATGTTTCCATCCCCAGCAATACGCTCTTGATGCATCCTTGCTCCTTCTGTCAAAGCATCCCGTGTGTCCGCAGGGAACGCACAGAGGATGTGACCACCACATCCAGCAGCAATCACAGCAACTCAATAAACAGCTGCTGTGGTAAAATTCAATACTTTCTAACAACAGCAGTCCATGCTCCCCGATGAGACACCGGCACACTGTAAGCTCCACAAAGCCTTCTCAAAACAGCTAAGCAGAGCCTGAAACATTTCACACTGGTTTCTTCACTTATTCCATTATTGACCAGGTCTACAGCGATTTAGCTCCCAATGTCAAGGTATCTCAATCTTGCCATGTGCAGCACTTGTGGTGCATTTGATCTGTTCCTGAATATTCCAGATTCACTTACTCCCCCCTTGCCTCCCATCCCAGGTTTCACCAAAACTGAAACTCCACACAGCGATGTATAGTTGAGGAATGGCTGCAGCTTCCAGGGAAAAGACAGAGCAGGGCCAGCAATTGGACTGCAAGCGAAAACGTCGGTCTCAGCATATGCTGTTTCAGACGCCTTAAAAAGCTTGGGATGCTCTTCAGTTTTTAGCATATCCATGGAGAAAAAAACCTCTCTGCTTTGTCCCAAGGAAGAAAAGCACATTAGCATCTTGCTTCGTGGAAGTAAGAGCTCCGATCCACCATGGAGCAACTGGCCCAGCTGCTATCAAGGAGGTGATGTTCAGAGATGATTTCACACCTGAGTGGCAGGGTGTGACAACTCAGCCTAAGTGCTGTCCTCATCCCAGCCACATCTGTGATCCCATCCTGCCACTGCCTGCCATTTTCACCAGACTGATGCACAGCATATGCTCTGTGCCACACGGACTCCCCTGGGTGCACTTGTTCCTTCCCCAGGGAATACTAATTCATCTGGAATGCACTTCTGGAGGGAGTGCACTGGGTGCACAGATGGCACAAAGAGCCTGGATGAGACAAGCCTGGGACTTTCACAGTCTTCCTGGAAAGAGAGGAGGAGGATAAAGGAGGAAAACCAACTTTCTCAAATAAAAGTGCACGCCTTTAACATCAGCTCTTCTCCAAGGCAGGGTGTGTCAGGCAAATACGGCAATGATTAGAAGTAAGGAAGGGCGGGGAGGCATTCTGGCATGCTGAAGGCAGGGCCAGAACTAATGTTGTTTTCGGCAGGGGTACAGCATCCCTCTGAAGCACAGTGCTGGTCCTGTTGTTTTAAATGCCTTTACTTCAAACCTTCTCCTCCTGGTTCTGAAACAGGAAAGCAATCCCTTAAACATAACCATCTACTCTGCCTCTATTTCTAATTCAACAGCCCCTCTAGAGGCAACTCTCACCTCAAAGGTGGCAGGGACATCGATACAGCATATATGGATGTTCAGTCAGTGACACCCTTCCACATTTCAGAGCCAACCAGAAATAAGCAATAGCACAGGCTGAATTTTGTTTCAAGGGAGCTGAAAAGCTGTGCTTGAACAGCCTGGCTCTGAAAGGAGTAGCCCCACTGGAGAAAGCAAAGAAATCCCATCAGCAGTGGGATGTGATGAGTCAGTTCCTGCTACAAATGACCCGACCACACAAACGGGCTGGGAACAGCTCTGCTGCAGCTTTACTGCAGCTCCAAACCAGCTTCTTCAGGGTCAGAAGAGAGCGAGCACAAAAGCACCTCAAGCAACAATTTACCTTGCCAGTTACCTTCAGCTCCAGGGCTCTTCCAAGAAACAA